CCTAAATGAATGCCATGCAAAATGTAAAGATGCAAATGTGTATGCAAAAATATTGATCCCAACAGTGAATATCATAGAACAATTTTCACCAGAGATAAAAGCCTTCACATTGCAAGATAGTCCATTTTACAGACATGCTTTCACTTAGATGTTGAGTCTGAAGTGGATCATTGCTTCATCTCAGATCTTCATCCTTGAAAATGATGTCTCTCAAGTACTTTATAACCTAACTCCGTTAACGTCCAGTGCGGTGCTGAAGTCAATGCGTCACTCATTGATGACTATCGATGAAATGATCGTAGATAAGACTTCACTGCTGGAGTATTCCTTAGATCAATGGATCATCTTTCCGGTCTCGAATGTTGCACGATCTTCGAGCAACTCTCATTCTTGTACTCTAAACTTCTTTTTAGCCCTCGGTGCACATCTGTGTATGCAACTGCTTAATCAAAAACTTTTACCTCTCATTATAAAAATTTTCTCTTGAATATTCCTTTGCGGATCAACACTTTTGCATTAAGTTATGTTGATGAAATGCAATGCAAAGAAGGACGAAAAATGACACAATCAAAAGAAAAGAAATAAGTTAGTACGACAAGATAATCAATAAAATTAAAAGAGGCCATATAAAAATAAATATAACACCTACCCAATCATGATATCTACCCGAGAATGCTTTTATTAGATAGTAATCCTACCCATACATGCTTTCTACCCAAAATGATTTATTTTCAAGAAATTGATTATAACCGTATGATATCTAGTTCGCATGCTTTTATTCAACAAAATTTAAAGTAAAAGGAAATGTTCAAAAACACTCCTCCTTTGTGTACACTTATTTTGGGTACCTATTGACGGCCAGAGGTTCAACATGACTCTACCTAGGGTTACCATTCTACAGTTCACTATATGCATGGTTTCGGATCTATGAGGAAAGGGTACTCAAATTGTTCTTGGTGTCAATGCCCCATTGGGCTGCCAAACCCTTAATCCTAACCCATTACAGGCATAAATGGATCGAGTTCAATTCGAGGGGATCCACTTCCTTATACCCATATGAGGAATAAATCCCTACGAAGATATAAGGCATGTGTATCTTAGAGGTTACTTGCTAAAACTCATACGAAGAATAAATTCTTACGAGAGTAAAGCGTTCACCCCATTTACTTGGAATGAAGCTCGGGTTTAGAGCTTATGTTGTGCAAATGTTCGTGATGTGTGTGAGGAGACATGTACAAACCTTTTCCTTAAAAGGAAACGAAAAAAACTTGACAAAACCCTTAACAAAGCTGAAAAAAATAAATTAAAACGTTAGTACGATAAACATACAGAAATTAGAAAAAAATTCAATAAATGGATCATAAGCTAACTATAGACTCGAACTCATATTGTACATCACTACGACAATGTGTAAGCGACTTACAGCCTGACTCTCTAAAAAAAGGTCCCTAGTAGAGTCGTCAAGTTGTCATAACATTTAAAAAAAACAATTAAATATTATTTTATAAAAAATAATTATGACTTTATCTTGAAAAATTGACAATTTTGGATTAATTTGGATAGGAGTTGAATAGGAGTCGCCATCGACCTTTAGGTTAGGTAGGCTGAATATCTAAAAATGTATTTTAAAATAATTTTAAGAAAAATAATTTTTTAGACAAAAAGCGGCATGTGTTATCAAAGATTCAATTTAACGGGTCCAGGAGTCGATTACGCGTGGAGAAGGATAAGCACCACAACAACGCCCAAAAATTGGTATTTAATTGCTTACATGTTGTCGTAATAGTGGAAATCAAAAATCAAACATAAAGTTAAAATATGATCAATTCATTTAACATTAATTAATTTGTTTCGAATTATTATTATTAGGGAAAATTCTTTAACTTGAAAAGAAATATCAAGATTAGCAATCCTCCATCGGGAAAGCTATCTCACATATTTCTTATCTGTAAAAGAATATTCCCTCCTCATTGATTAAAAAACGCAAATCGAATATAAATGAAAAATAGATATTTACAAACAACAAAATAAATTGCTACTTAAAAAACACATTGAATCACTAAAAAAAGATTTAATTGGTAAAATAAACTAGATTTATTTCAAGTTCTCATTTCGTTCGAACGTCGTATCGGATTGTACCACTTCGATCAAGTGATACTTTTCACGCCCATTCTGCAAATACAACTCTTAAAAATATTCGAGTAAAATACACAAAGGAATATAAATTAATAGCTAAACAAATATATTTTTAAATACATAAAGGAACCACAATATATCGAGCAAACTTATACAATACAAACTAAAAAAACGAATAAAATACATTTATGGTGCAAATGTGACTAATAATATTCATTATATATATATATAGAAACTGATAACAAATTCGAACTAAAATACACATCTACAAATACAATGGATTAAAATAAAGACTAATCATTCTTAATAAAAAGGGCTAAAAATGTTAAATAGATATATACACATATAATTTGATATAATATATATTTACATAAAAATATATATAAATATACATACATGATAAAAATAAAAATAAAAATAAAAAGAAACTAAATTATACAATAATTTTAGGAAGTAAAAAAATCATAGAAACAAGACATCGAGGACCTAATGAGAAATAAACCCAAAGCACTAAGGCATTAAAGATGGTGACTAAAATGAATACGGGGAAAATATACGCTTCAATACATAAAATACACGATTTTATACATCCGTAAATATTAAGGACTACAATCAAATATTATGTAAAATAAAGGTCCAAAGTCTAAATATGAACAAATATTATAACCAAATTATAGGGACTGAAATAAAACATAAAATAAAAGAAGAAACCGAAATGGAATTATGAAACTTTCTTTAAGTGACCAAAAAACAAATGTTACAAAGATGGAACCCTCCTTGCATGATTAACCCATACGCTAAACGCATGGCTTTTCCCGTTCTACACGACGTCGTTTCGTGTTTAATATATATAACACAATCAAAGGCCAAAACCGACCATCATTTCATTTGCTTTGCTTTCTCAACTGAGGGAAGAAAGAGTTTTCAAACTCTCTCAACTCTCCCATTGGGTAAGAGAGAGGTCGTCGCCGCCGGTGGCACCTCACGACGGTTCACGGTGGCCGAAAAGACCCAAACACCCTCAAAAGATTCCTCCCCTTGCCCTACACCTGAAAACCACCTCCATTTAGCCTAAAAACTACCCTAGCATCCTAGATCTAGGGTTTACCTTTCAGAAAAGAGAAGGAAACGACGACTCCTGGACTCTCGACTTGCTTCGAACCAAGGTATGTTTCTCCCTTTCTTTTTTTTTCTATTTGCTTTCTCTCTCATTTTTCTTTTGTTTCTTTTCTCTGTTTTTTTATTCAAAAAATTTCTCCTTTTTTATCTCTCATTTTTCCTGTCTTTTTTAAACCGAGTTCCCTCATTTTCTGGTTCTATCCCTTTTTTGTGGTGATGCATGTGATGGCTTTTGATGAATGATTGGTGTTGCTTCTGAGAAAATAGGGTATGGATATCCTATTTTTGGCTTGATTGACAACCCCGATTTTCTTGGGATTTCTTGCTGCTTGAAAATGGGTATATATGTATGTGTGTGTGTGTATGTGTGTTTGATGGATTTGGTGTAGTTTTTTGTCACTATTGATGACGGAAGTGGAAAAGGGATTCATCAGTGATGGCGCACGCGGCGAGGAGACAAGCGGTGGGGTGCACGTGCCGGTTGGTGACTCCTTGGTGGTTGCAGCGACAACATATCATGCTAGGGTTAAAACAAAACCCTAATCCTTATTTGGGTCCGCTGACTTTGGGTCGGTTCGGGTCGGATCCTGGTGTTGGGCTTGAATTGGGTCGGGCCAGCTGTAACTGGGTCCTGAATATCTGTTGTTGGATTGGCAGCTAGATATTGTTGGGCTTTTGTAACTGGTGGGCTTCGGGTTTCATCTGGGTTGTGCTATGATTTGGGCTTCATTTGAGTTTGTAAAATGTAAAAAAAATAGATAAATTATTATTAATAATAATAAGTAATTAAAAGTAGAACTCTGACAAAAATGAGTGTCTACAGTAACAAGGTCATACAACTGGGCTAATTTTTTTACTATAACATTCAAGAAAATAAAATTACCCAAATAATAGTGAACCAAAATTATTTGTTCTTCCTAATCAGGAGCACAGTGCGATTCCAATTTGGGAGACACATTGTGCTCAATTTTTTTTTGCAATAATGGTTAAAATTAAATCTAAACCTTAAATCTTAAATCTTAAACCTTAAATCTTAAATCTTAAACCCTAACTCTTAAACCTTAAACATTAACCCTAAATCATATTAAACCTTAAACATTAACCCCTAAATCATACTAAACCCTAAACTCAAAATTAAAAAATTAAAAAAACAAAGTATTGGGGGAGACACATTGTTCTCCATGTGTCTCCCCAAAATTATATTGAAATTATATTGGAGTCGCATTGTAAGTTATGCGTCTTAAATTTGTATTTTTTTTAGAAAGTAATTTTAACTGACTATTATTCGAACTTATAAAAAATTCCAACACATTAGTCAAAAAAAAATCCCATACAACTGTGTAAACGCAGTCGTAGCCAAAAATGTAGGTCTGAAGTGTGGGTATTTATGTTTTGGGAGGTAGGATCTAAAGCAGATTATCGTTTTGGTTTGTTGATCTGCATTAGCTGAGTGATAGCATTGAAACCCAGACAAATGGAACAGGATAGGAGGCAGTTCCAGGATGATTTATTTGGTGGTGGTTGTAGAATATTGTGTTAATGTAATAGTACAAGGTAATAATTTATGAGAGAATATGAATTGGTGGATAATTGCAGTATCATTTTTCATCTGCAGCTTCTTCCCTGTTTCCGTTTGTATCCCAATCAGTCCCTTTTGGTTTGGAAGCAATGTGTAACAACCCATCAATTCAAGAAAGCAACACAAATAATAAAGTATACACAATTAGCCATCACCGATTTGGATAGGAAGCTAATAAAACTCACTCACGTTGTTTGTCCTGGTCAGACTATTCCAATTAAATCAAACCAACAAAAAAGGAAATTCACAGCTGAATAAAAAAAGGTAATCTGTGGGTTCTGATTTGGTGCTTGCATCTACAAGGTTGTTGCTGTTGTGTAAGAGTCTACGGTCATAAAACTATGGATCATGTGATGAAACGAGGGCGTCAACGAGCGATGTCTGATTTTTCCGTGAAGCCTAATTGTTGTTCCATTTCCCAGCTGAGCTTAGAGGCCACCCCTGAATGTTTAGGTTCATACTCCTGGGTAAGCAAATTAATATATGGCTCAGATCATTTTGGATCAGCAGACGTGGGCAGGTGGAGAGATGGTATTGGGTTAGGAACAGTGTACCTCGAGCTTGCACATGAGTTCTTGGGCAGTTTGGGCAGAGACAATTATGTCACGGGCAGCTGGTGCTATGAATCCTTCATCTACGGCATTGTCTACGAATGATAAAAGTGAGTTGTAGTACCCATCAACATTCAACAATCCCACCTGTAATGTTCCCAGAAATTTAAAACTCTCCTTTTTTTCATTATAGAAATTGGGTTTTAATGAACACGTTTTTTGCATGTGAAATCTTCAATAATTGTGTTGGAGATGTGCATAGTTTCAATCAAATCAAACACGAGGAGAATTACAGGTTTGTCATGGATTCCCAGCTGAGCCCAAGTGATGACTTCCAGTAGTTCTTCCAAGGTTCCATAACCACCTGTGAGTTGAAATTTGATCAGATCAATTAATAGTTAATATATATATATATGAAAGTTGGTTGACAGTTATGTCCTACAGTTACCTAGGAAGCTGTAAATTAGAATATTCACTTTATTATTTAACCCAGATAAAATAGGCAGTGCTCTAAAGAAACAAACCTGGCAAGGCAATAAAGGCGTCAGCTTGGCGAGCCATTTCAGCTTTACGTTGGTGCATTCCTGTCACGGCTCTTACTTCTCCCACTGTCTCGCCTGTGATCTGAAATGTTTTGACCTCAGATTTTAAAATTAAAAACCAAATAATTCTTTATTATTATTATTATTATATGATAATGTAATGGGGCCCAAGTTGAGTGAGATTGAATATGGGGCAGTTTGAATCTTAAATTGTCCTTGTATGGTAGTTTGATACAAACTTTTGGGAGAAGAATCCATCAAGTGTTCACATGAATCTGAAATTATGTTTATTTCAAACTATTTACCTCTCTTGGCATCAGAGTCTTGGGAATTACACTGCCACAAAATGGAAGCAAAGGTTTAAAGTTGGAGAAACTTATTTAAGAGAGGACCAGATACAATGAAAGAGAGAGAATACCCCAATACGTGGCGACCACCATCGAATACAGCTCGAGAGACCAGCCCCATCAACCCAATGCTTCCTCCTCCATAAACCAAGTCAATGTTCCTCTCAACCTGCAAGTTTTTTTTTTAGTTTTAGTATTAAACTTTACGTGTTTAATTTAAACATAATTCCTTCACATTACTCCATTTCAATCACACCACTTTATTCTTTTTCAGCCTTTCAAGTTTTTAGGCATCAATTTCCTTCCTATTCAAGTTTTAATTAAACCAAAAACAGAGCAAACAGATGATGACTTGGAGTTCGATAGGTTTTCTGTAACAACAGCTTTTGAAGCCAATGTAAAGAGGCGGGAAGAGTAAAAAGAAATGGGATAAATTGCATGAATGCCAATCTAATTCGGACATACTCGATCAGTGATCAGTTCTTGTATGAGAGGATGACGACTAGAAGACGAATGAGAAGGGGGGGGGGGAACAAGTCCTTTGTGTGCTTGTTTATGAAAATGGTAAAAGAATTTAGTTATTGTACCAGTTGTTGGGCGAGCTGAATGGCAGAAAGCTGGTAGCTAGGATTCCTGCCAGGACTGCTACCACAAAAGACACACAAACGTCTGAATCTTGATTTCATGGAATTGGGTTGGCGTTGTTGTTGTTGCTGGTATTGAAGGTGATGATGGAGGTGGAGTTGTTGATTCTCCATGACAAAAAAGCCTTGTTTGATTTTGCTTCAAATAGCTACTTTCTTTTTGGTGCGAGACAAAGGAATGGTGTTTGGGTGTACGTGGTGGAAAACCAAAGGGAAGGGAAGGCGAATGGAAATGGGTGTAATTGGACCCCTTTTTATATCAAATCAAAATTCAAAATGCCCCCACCATCCAACAGAACACGTCCCCAACTTCTCATCTCGGGATATAACATTATTATTCCCCCGATAAGGAAATTCACTGAAACTGTAGCTGATGGTTGAGGTTGAGCTTTCATTTTAATCCCTTGTCTCGTGGATTTAATTATGAGGTATCTAAGAAAAGGTAATTTAATATATTAAGAAAAAACGTTATCAAAAATATTAATTTTTTTTAAATATTTTTGATAGAACGTTACTTAAAATATTATTTTTTTACATATCGAAAATATTAACTTTATGTAGCGAAATTAACATTTTCGATAAGAAAATAACATTTTAAGTAGCGCTCTACCAGAAATATTAAAAAATATTAATATTTCTAGTAACGTATTTCCTTAGTCTTATATTAAAAAACTGTCGTACAGTAGAACTACCCTTCAACTACGCATCAATCTCCGACTCCCTTAACTTCACCTCCATTTGTCCATTCACGTCACGAGACTGCATGATTTTAGTGACTCCCCACCCTAATACTTTTCTAAGATTATCAGCCTTTAACCACCATAATCATATTTGGGTTTATATTTGTTTAATGTATAAATTTAAAATAACCAATTTAACATAAAACTGTAATACTTATGTTCTTGAAAATGAACACCCATGTCAGAAACTAAGGTAAAATTTATGTGCGAGGCTTTTGATTAAAATATTATCAGAAACTAATGTTCTTCATCGACCATCTCTCTATGATTCCCCATATTAAAGTGTAACAATAACGCAATGAGTTTAGAGACCGTTAGGTTTTTCAAATGGAGGCTATGATCATCAGTGAGCTTTTTTGTTTTCCATTACTTTTTAATTTTTCATCTTGTTGTTGATTTTTTTTGGTTGTTGTTTGATGATTTATCATCATAATTGAGTCATTAATCCTTATATTACGGAGGCCATTAATCAAAGAAATGACGGATTGTTTATTAGGTTCTCATCTCTCTAATTCACCAGAGGAAAATCTTTGCAACTGGTTTTTGTTCATAGTTCTAACTTCTAAGCATTTGTTAATAATTACATTATTATTGAGATGCTCTTCTTATCTTTCAAGTACCATGATGAAATATGCTTCTTTTAAATATAAAAGTATGTTGATCAAATTGACATAAGAAAAAGAAAAAAAAAGAGAGATGGATAACACATGGCTTCTCCGTAAGCAAACAACAGTCCGTGTAAGCAAAAAGATATCGTCTCAAGTTATTACTGATTTTAGGAATGACAAAAATAGGAGTAATTTGAAAGCTGAGTGATTAGATTAAAAAGATTTAAACATTAATACCAAAATAAGACTGACAATAAAGTTAAGAGATGAATTTTATAATTTATCCTATTGTTTAATAACAAGTTGAGAGGAGTGGGCACGTGATACCATGAATTCTAGCCTGTCCATCTCTCTCTATCTTTGATGAAGTTGGGACATTGAAACTTCTATACATACATCTATATATGTATATGTGAAACAGCTGTAACGGCGGTGGTTGTAAACCATGCAGCCATGCCGCTGTCCGAGACTGTGACTTTTATTTTCATCTTTAAGGACATTTTTACTTGGTTTAAAGGCTCGTATAGATTTCTATTTATATATGCATTAAATATAAACACTTAATGAAGCGCTTTTAATGATACCAGTACTAATCAATGCACAACTACAACAAAAGATGACTCGGAGGAAAAACAAAACTCAACCCAAATAATGGTTTTCAGAACCGGACCGGTTAGCGAGTCGATCATGTTATTGGTTCATTGGTTCAACCGGTCCGAAAGAACCGGACGACGTCATAATTATTTAAAAAATTAAATAAAAATACCAAAAATATTTAATAAAAAATAATTTTTTATATCACAAGTCATAGTCAAAGCGAATCATAACATATATAAATTAAAAACCATAAAATCAAGTGAAACAAAATGATTCAAATTAACTACAACATAATATTTAAGGTAAAACATATTAAATAATAAATATAACTATATAACTATAATTAAAAAATAAATTTGTGGCTAAAAAAATAATAACAAAATGATATTGTTTGGTTTATTTATTTTTTTAAAAAAACAATCCCACATGGCTAAGAAACATAGAAGAGCATCCCAAAAGTCTAAAGAGTAAAAATATAAGAACAAAACAATCCCACGTTGCTAAGAAACATAGAAGAGCATCACAACTAACTTCTATAAATAATAGAGGTAATTTGACATTCAAAATCATGGAGCCTTTTGGTGAGCATTGAGTGAACTATTATTTCACTTCAATTCAGCTCGAATTTTAGGCTTTAATTGAGCTTCTAAATTTTTTTTAGTTCAAGCCTTTTTGAGTTCAAGTTTCAATATTATATTTCGAGTTTGAGTTGAACTTGATAATTTTTAACTTGTGAGTTTGAGTGGAGTTGAGCTTACTTTTAAAGTTTTCAAGTTCGAGTCGATACTCGAGTTCTACTTGGCTCGTTTAACAAACGACGTTTGGTTTAATTTTTTAAAAAAAAAACAAAATTTCTGGGTTTTTTTAATTTTCAGCCGGTCCGGTTCGAACGGTTCAACGGTTCTGACCGAAACTGGCCGATCCGGTCCGGTTTTCAAAACAATGACCCAAACAGTTACTGGGCAAAAGGAGAAATAAATAAAGAAAAATGCTTTGTTGGATAATAATAGAATAAGGTGAGAAAAGTATTTGGACCTTTGACAATGGACATAAAATGTAATCATAGTCGGCGGATAAATTATATGTACCTCAAGGCTCAAGATTCTCATAGAAAATGGGAGGTCATTAGACTAATTATTTTTCAGTACAACTAATACATTAATTAATACGGATCCCATCCAGGGTTACAAATTAATTAGTTGTTGCTTCTGCCTCTTGCACTTTGCTAATGGGGTCACCACTAAGCAAAGGTTTTAAACAGAATTCCACAAGCTACCAGAGTGGAGATAAAAAGGGAATTCTAACACTTATCCCTAAAACAACTAGATGAGTGGGATATTAATTAATTAACGAATAAAAAGTAAAAATATTAAAAACATAAAAAATCCAATATTTTGCACATGCGTTTCCGCTTTTAATTCAGGCGATTTTACCGAAATATTATCCCGATAAGTAATAATTATCTGTCAGACACTCTTTCTCCTAATTTTACTGATCTAGCACCCTTTCTGACAAGACGCGATTGGATTTCAATGCATCTTAAGTTATAGATATCTACCTGTGTATGACTGTATTTAGTTGAGGCTGGATTCAATTACGTAGCAAAATATAAAGGGCATTGTAACCTTGAATCCAACCTTATTTATGCATTGGTTGAGCGGTGGAGACCAGAGACACACGCATTCCATCTTCCGTGTGGAGAGTGCACAATTAAGCTGGAGGAAGTTTCCATGCATTTGGGGCTTCCGATAGATGGGGATGTGATTTATGGGGTGGCGCATGGTGACTGGCATTCCTTGTATGAGGAGTATCTTGGAGGTGTCCTGCCTAATTTCAACGGTGGTCGAATTACGTTAAATTGGTTGGATACAACTTTCAAGCATTTGAGTGGCGACGCCTCCGAGGATCAGGTTAAAATGTATGCACGGGCTTGCATACTACAACTCATAGAAGGGCTCCTGATGCCTGACAAATCGCGCAACCAAGTTCATTGTATGTGGTTGTGTCATCTCGTAGATTTTCATCATGTTGGTACATGAGTTGGGGCTCCACACTTTTGGCATTTCTGTATAGGGAATGTGTCAAGCTACTAACTATAGAAAAAATGCTATTGGCGGATGTCTCCTTCTGCTCCAGTCTTGGGTGTGGTATCGCATGCCCTTTTTATGTCCGGTGGTTAAAAACCCGTTGGTCTTCTCGCTATTATTGAGGTAATTACGATACTAATTTCGTGTATTAATAATTTTGTTTAGTATATAATAACAATTATTTCATTAAATAGGAGGTCAAGTGCAAGAAAAGATCATCGGGATTTACCTGATGAATTTGAAGAAATTAGGCTACTCATTGATCAGAAGGCTGACACAGAGGTATATATTTAAATAACAAAATGTACTTTTAATTATCGTTATATAATTAGAATATTATTTTAAAAAGAATTATATAGATTTGTTTTAGTTTCAATGGGCTCCTTATTCTACTGAAGAGATGAGGACTTGCATCTCATATCACTTAAGAGGCCCATTAGATGTTTGGATGTCAGTGGTCCCTCTGATATGTTATGCTATTGTCGAGTGGCATCCCACTGATCGCGTGCTCTGCCAATTTGGTTTTGTAATATCTATTCCGGTAGCACTTAAGAATCTCGATGATTTGCATATCATCAATAGACGGGGCAAAAAAGAAGTCGACTGGCTGCTAAGCACTATGAGTGGGTAATGATATAGGAGGATCGACGTGGGCACATTCCCCGTACAGAACCCATTTATGTGGATCATTACTCGATTACGGATTATTACTATGAGTGGTTCAATAGGAACGGGAAACCGTTCCTACTTTCCGAGGAAGCACGAGGCGGGAACATTCATCGACGTCGACAAAGACGTCCATCGTCACAACATCATCATTCCCAACTCGTTGACGGAGAGCAAAGACTTCTGGCTCATCCTCAACTGTAACACCGGAACCATCACAGCAGCCATCGTCTACACCACTGTACATTCCGCAGCCATTTCAGATGGCACCACAGCCGTATCAGATGACACCATAACCATTTCATATGCCACTGTAGCCAGGTCATACGCCACCGCTTCCATACCAAATGCCGCCACCGCCACAGAGTTTTATGACCCCTCTTGGCGGATATTATAGTTCCATGCTTACAGATCCAACTTGGGGTTCATATATTGGTTATTT